CCCCTGTCTCTCTCTGGCTGTTTTTAAAAAACAACAACAACAACAAAAAACTAAAACCAAGGAGAGGAGTTCAATATTAAAGAAGTCAGTCAATGAACAAAAAATGGTCAGTGACTGTTTTGACAGATGCTACATGTTTGATGTAGCTCTGGACCAATGTACAAAAAATGACATCCAAAAATGTCATTTGGATATTTGCAGAGTCATGAGATAAAGAAAAAAAAACTAAAAACAATCACTTTTTATTCAAGTCATTATAATAATAATAATAATTCTAACTATGTGTTACATGATCATGACTTGACATGTCTTCATAATTTACTAGAAATGACTGCAGTGACTAAAATTCTATAACTTCTGATGTGGATTAAGAAGCAGAGGTCAAACCTCCAACAACTCTTTTACTATATGTGCATATAGATGCCAAAAATATGCTACTTGCTGAATGCATTCACAGTATATATATATATATAGTGATTTTATTTTATTACATTATATTATTTTATATAATAAAGGTTTGCTACTAACAATGACCGAATGAGGGGGAAAGAAAAGTCAACTTACCTCTGGCCGATTCCTCGGTTAATAAAACTTCCGCTGTTTTTGTGCTTCACTCTTTATAGCTTATTCGGTGCTTTCGCTTTCTTGAATTTGCATTGCTGGCATGAAGGCAGACAGGAAATCTTTACCGTCAGCTGTGTCTCTGTAGGAGAAAGTTTTTTAAAAAGCCGGCGGTAAAAGCAGAAGGTGAAGCAGGCGAACTAGCTTCTCTGGGCACAAGGACAAGCCAGAGATCACCTTCCAGTGAGCAGGTTTACGGACTGAAAAAACACACACACAGAGACCTCTTGTTAATGATTAAACGGACATTTAGTCAGCGGGAGTGTCGGTCGCAGCACAAGCTGAAACCACTGACCGACATTTTTTTTTTTACTTTTCCCAACACCCTGATCAGTTTACAGGAAGATTTCCCCCGAACACACACAAAAATCCTACAGCCGCGTTGCCCCCATCAGCTCATGTTTCAAGGTTAAGAGTTTAAACCTTGCAGTGGTGCAACAAGCGCTCATTCTGTACGTAAGAGCGCAGCAACGAAAAAGACTCAGAATTTAAATTGTAGGGGAGACCTGGGATAGTTGTAACGTGGGTCAGTTGTAACACTTCCAATTTCTCCAATCAGGGCTAAGTTTCAAATGATGTGACTCATCCTGTGCATGCCCAACTCAGTTCTGCTAT